AGGGCGGCGAAGCGGGGACGCACGGGCAGGCGGGTAGGCGCCCGCCCGGTTCTTCGCCGAGGTGAGCCGGCGGCACGGCTGGAGGGGCCCCGGGTGCAATGTCAATGCCAGCACGCCCTCCCTTTCCCCATGACAGCTGAGGACAGCCGGGCTTGGAGCCTCGCGTCCAACTGCGAGGTCGCGAATGCCTCTGCCTTTTAAGCCCCTTAGACTATGCGGAGAAATGACCCGGTGGTGTCGCTTTCCCTCCTCCCCACTTGAACTGGGCCGCGGCCAGGACCGAAACGCACGTCATTTGAAAGGACCCTCAGCCTAAAACACCCCAAATGGCAGGCCTGTCAAGCCTTTGGGTGGGGCTGGGGACCCAAAAACCACCTAGTAGGTCTCATTTTGGTGTTTCAATTGAGAGTAGATCGAAAACTCGAGTGTGGTCTTCAGCGATGCTTGGGGGGGAAAAAATCCCCCAGATCCTGGATATTGACTTGGAAAATTAAGGTTCCAGTAATCTTCTTTTTTTTTTTGCCTCTGCTCTAGAGGCAGATGCGAACTTCAGGTGTCGGATGTGGGTTTGGAACTTTAGCCCCCGAAGACATTAAATAACAGCCTGGTAACAACTGGGCAAGTGTTCTCCTTCCTACCCACAGCACCTGCAAAAGCACTAGTGGAACTCAAGTATTTTGCTTCCTGAGTTCTAAAATGGCTTCTGAGCCAGCCAGAGGTACCAGATGTGGGAAGATGGACAGTGCAGAGAGCAGGGAGTGTTTCTACACGGTGTAAAGATGTACACGTATTACATTTTAACTGCTAATCCTCAACTCCCTCCCCACTAACACCACCCTCATTGGTCAAGGAAGAATTGTACTGCAGGCCAGTTCTGCACTTCTATATTCAGGCTTTTTCTCTAGACGCACAAACACACAAACCAGTCTGTCCAAAATATCTGTTAACTTTAGAGAGGATGTATCAAAGCCACCAAACCTAATCCTTCTACACATCATTTCTTTTAAACATTAAGAAATCCTGCAATCAACGCTCTGAAACAAGAAACAATTTACCAGGATTTCAGATGCATTTAATTAATTCAAGTAAGTGGCTAATAATTGTCTTTTAACATTAAAAGTATGTGATAGTTTTTGGAATTGGTAGGTCAAAAGTTCGAAATTCTCCCTTGACGTTTTTGGAGACAGATTTCTGCTCTTCTTTATGTATCATCAGCACAATAGTTAATTGGAGGTAGGGGATGATATTTTATCTTGACTATATAACGCAGTGTCATGCTGACCTTAATTTTTTTTTCAGTTATAAGCCTTAGTGTTTCTTATAAGCTGCACATTTGTGAAGTTCACTTATAAAACAAAACTGTTAGCATTGTTTAGTGCTGAATTTTTAATTTAGAACTACCAAATTGTTTACAGCCATATTAAAATGTAGTCCACTCCTCTGGTCCATCTAACAGTTTGTACAAGTTGCTGCTAAAAGTCTTTTCTGAGTTTAAAACTTAATGCCTGGAGAGCATAATTTCCTAAGGTAAATACTAACTTCCTAGGTTTTAGGAATAATTATTGTATAACTTGTCTAAGGTAACATTATTTCTTTTCCTTACAAGTTACAGCAGTTGTAAAAATACATTTGCGTCCCAATACTTTTTGTTCTGTAATTTTCTCCTTCAGGTATATTTACTAAAAGTAACTGTGCTCACTGATGTAGTAGCGTTTAGATGCCTATTCTGTTAACTCAAGCACTTCAGACTAAACATATAGCGACCACTTAAAAATGAACAAAATTTTAGCAGATCTGAATGCAAGTTAGCCTTTGAAAGGCCTGAAATAATGTGAAGATCAGAAATGTGATGCTTCAAGATGAAATAAAAAGTTGTTATTTAGAAGAATAAACAGGATTAAATTAATAAATGAAGCACCATTTAATGATGAGGAGGATGACTAACACAGCAGTCCTTATCTCAGTATTAAGTAAGTGTGGTTTGTGTTATACTTTTTAACTGTGAAATATAGTAATCACGGTGATATAAAAAAGTCAAACAAGCATAGGAGGTGGTTTTTTAATTCACTGTTGTATTACCTACACTTTTAGCAGTCACTCTTTTTTTCCCCACCTGTTCTCTTTGTCTCCACATTTTAGAAGTTGAACTAAAGTTGCAAGTAGAAAGGGGGTTTTCAAGTCTCTTTTATTCCTGTTTTCTTAACCTCTACTTCTCCATTCACAAACATTACTTGAACTTTTAACATCTTACTTTGTGATGATAAAAAGTTGTTTTTTATCTCCAAGAATTTAAATTTACCATAGCCCTGTAAGTGAAGAAGCATATGACATATTTTATTTTAAATA